CCGGCTAGTTTTTTGTATTTTTTAGTAGAGACGGGGTTTCACCGTGTTAGCCAGGATGGTTTCGATCTCCTGACCTCGTGATCCACCCGTCTCGGCCTCCCAAAGTGCTGGGATTACAGGCTTGAGCCACCGCGCCCGGCCCAAAATGAAGTTTTAACTTAGGAACATGACGTAAAAAAAGATTTTGGTCCTGATCATTTCTTTGTGATTTTGCCTCCAGCAACCCAGGCATGACGAGACCTGCACAGGGCGAGCTCCTGGGGATGACGTGACCTTGCTGTTACCAGGAAACCGGCCTCGCAGGCCTTGGGGACAAAGCGAGTCATTGGGAACTTCTCCACCCCCTCGCGCGGGGCGCCCAGGCGCGCCCCGGTGCGCCCCGGTGTCTGCTGCCCCCGCGCGGCCGCCCTGCAGTCCTGCACCCTCGGGGCGCACCTGAGAGCCGATGGGTACCCGGGCTGGCAGAAGTCAGAGGTGGGCTTCCTGCTTCTCCTCTCCCTGGGTCCTGGGGCGGAGAAGGGCAAAGGCCGGTGAATGGCGCCCTCCCGGCGTTGTGCAAGGCAGCGGCTACTGATAACTGGGGTTTCCCGCCTGGTCCTCCCTGCTCCCCTGCAAAGTGAAACTCCAAGGCCACACAGAGCAATAGTGCATGGGTGACCTTGAACCTGGTGCCGAATAAGAGAGAGAAGGGCGCGAGCAGGGGGAAGCTTTGGACTGAGGGTTCAAGGCTCCCAGTTCGTCTACATCGGAGGCTTCTCCCACAGCAGGTCCTGCTGCCTTCAGGTGCAACCTGGTAGGTAGGGCCGTTATTCATTTCTTTCTTATTTTTGGACAGGATCTTACTTCGTCACCCAGGCTGGAGTGCAGTGGTGGAATCACGGCTCACTGCAGACTTGACCTCATGGGTTCAAGCGATCCTTCTGCCTCAGCCTCCTGAGTAGCTGGGACCACAGTTATGTGCCACCATGCCTGGCTAATTTTTGAATTTTTTTGTAGAGATGGGGTCTTCCTATGTTGCTCAGGCTGATCTAAAACTCCTGGGCTCAAGCAATCCTTCCACCTCCGCCTCCTAAAGTGCTGGGATTGCAGACCTGAGCCACTGCACCCAGCCATCTTTTTTTTCTTCTTTTTTCTTCTTTTCTTTTCTTTCTTTTTTTTTTTTTGAGACAGAGTCTCGCCCTGTCACCTGGGCTGGAGTGCAGTGGGCACGATCTTGGCTCATTGCTTGCAACCTCTGCCTCCTGGGTTCAAGCAATTCTCCTATCTCAACCTCCCAAGTAGCTGGGATTACAGGTACCCGCTACCACGCTGGGCTAATTTTTTTTGTATTTTTAGTAGAGATGGGATTTCACCAAGTTGGCCAGGCTGGTCTAGAATTCCTCATCTCAGGTGATCCACTGGCCTCAGCCTCCCAAAGTGTTGGGATTACAGGCGTGAGTCACCGTGCCCAGTCAGCTTTCATTTCTTAATTCAAAAAATTTACACAGAGCTCCTTCTGTGCCCCTGGCACCATTCTAGGCATGGGACACAGCAGTGAGGGAGGTTCACGGTCCTTGCCTTCAGAAGTGGCTTGGCAGGAAGGTAAGAAGGCAGGAAGATGAGAAGGCGATCCCGGGGTTTCTGGCTTGTGGGCCTGCGTGATTGGGACTGCTCTCCCTCAGTTAGCTTAGGGGACATCCCGAGTTGGTTTCATTCCCCAGCGGAGGCTTCTGACCTCTGACACTAGATATCCAGGCTTCTGTGGGCACCCATTCCTGTGGTCTGGGCAGCCACAGAGCCACAAAGAACCCTGGCTGGAATCTAGCTTGGGGATCAAGACCAGGGCTTTGGTGGGGGTAGGGAAGGGCAGGTGACTAGAGCTAGGACTGAGACATGAGCCTAGCATTCCCATGGGGCCACCGTAGGGGCTGTGGGGCAGAGTGAGGTCCTTCTGCTCTAGCTCCCACCCTGACCACGGGGAAGTGTGGTCAGTATGAGGCTGGAGATATCAGCTCAGCCTCTGTGGCGGTGGAGTTCTGGGGACAGGGATGCCAGGTGATGGTGGCAGCAAACCAAAGAGAGGAGGGAAAACAAATTGCAAATCCCAGTCTCAGCCACCACTTTCTTTCATTCTTTTTTATTTTTTTGAGATGGAGTCTTGCTCTGTCACCCAGGCTGGAGTGCAGTGGCCTGATCTCGGCTCACTGCAACCTCTGCCTCCCGAGTTTAAGCGATTCTCTTGCCTCAGCCTCCCGAGTAGCTGGGATTACAAGCATGCACCACTATACCCAGCTAAGTTTTATATTTTTAGTAGAGACTGGGTTTCACCATGCTGCCCAGGCTGGTCTTAAACTCCTGGCCTCAAGTGATCTGCCTACCTCGGCCTCTGAAAGTGCTAGGATTACAGGCGTGAGCCACTGCACCTGGCTCAGCCACCACCTTCTGACCCCCAGCAATCCCTTTGCCTCTCTCCCCAAACCTACTCCTTCTTTTCCCACCCCTACTTGGTGGGCAGCACTACTATCTGCCCTTCACTCGAGTCTTCTGGGTTGGGCGTATCCCTGACTCCTGTCTCGCTTTACATCTTTTCCTGTTCATTCCTCTGTTGGGATGCAACTCTCTATGTGTCTTTCATGTTTCTGTATGTCTTGTGAGTGAGGCACTAATGGATTGCCTTTTGCCCTGGACTTTCTTTTCTAGGTTATCTGTGTATCAGACAACCTTGGAAGATATAGTGTCTCCTTCTGGGGCAAAAGGCAGCCCTGCTTACTGCTCATTAGAAAAGATTTGGGTTTCCTGGCCAGGCGTGGTGACTCATGCCTATAATCCCAGCACTTTGGGAGGCTCTGGCAGGTGGATCACCTGAGGTCAGGAGTTCAAGATCAGCCTGGCCAATATGGTGAAACCCCGTCCCAACTAAAAATACAAAAATTAACTGGGCATGGTGGTGCGTGCCTGTAATCCCAGCTACTCAGGAGGCTGAGGCAGGAGAATTGCTTGAACCTGGTAGGTGGAGGTTGCAGTGAGCAGAGATGGTGCCACTGCACTCCAGCCTGGGCAACAGAATGAGACTCCATCTCAAAAAAAAAAAAAAGAAAAAAAGAAGACTGGGCGAGGTGTCTCCCGCCTGGAATTCCAGCACTTTGGGAGGCATTGGCAGGTGCATCACCTGAGGTCAGGGGTTTGAGACCAGCCTGGCCAACCTGGAGAAACCCTGTCTCTACTAAAAATACAAAATATTAGCCGGGTATGGTGGTAGGCGCCTATAATCCCAGCTACTTGGGAGGCTGAGGCAGGAGAATCGCTTGAACCCCGGAGGCAGAGGTTGTGGTGAGCTGAGATTATACCACTACACTGGGTGACAGAGCAAGACTCCATCTCAAAAGAAAAGAAAAGAAAAGAAAAGATTTGGGTTCCCTAAGCTCAGGCCACCTCTCCTGTAACACACCCACCTCAGATACTGCCAGGTATCATCAGGCCCTTGTCACATCACCCTGTGGGATTTGGGGCTCAAGGAATGAATGGAAAGTACTAATACTCTAGTTCACTGCTATTGCCATGAGTAACATTGTCTTTGATCTCTGACCTGGGAGTCTTGTGTCTTCCTGTGGCAGCCATGGAGCTCTGGCTGGTTAACTTGTTAGCATGCAAGTGGGCATCGTCTCAGATCATCTTGGATCTTGACATCCTCCAATTCTATCTGTTGTACCTGCTACAGATTTCTGGCATCTGTTGTCTCCATTCCTCAGCCCAAGGCTCCCATCATCACATGTCTGGGGGTTTATTTTTTCTGGATTCCTTTTTGCTCTCCCTACCCCAGAGTCCTCTGCCTCAGTTTCCATGCACATTGCTTGAGCTGCCTGCTGCAAGGCCCCCACCTGACCATCTGCTGGAGGGCTTTCTCTGGTGTTTGTGCTGGTGAGGTCGGACGTTCAGGGGAAGTTAATGTCCAACAGGAAGCAGACAGGTCATGGAAGACAAATACCCCAGTATTCATGCTCCTTGGGTGGGGTGACTCTGAGGTGTGTTCTGCACCATTTTCCAGGGGATTTTGGGGATCAGCCCCAGTTGTCTGAACCCAAACCCTTCTCATGAACTCATCTGTCCTTTCCTCCCTCCCTCCTCCCTCCCTCTCTCTCTCTCTCTCTCTCTCTCTCTCTCTTTCTTTCCTCAGAGTCTTGCTCTGTCACCCAGGCTGGAGTGCAGTGGCATGATCTCAGCTCACTGCAACCTCCACCTTCCAGGTTCCAAAAACCTCCTACCTCAGCCTCCTGAGCAGCTGGGATTACAGGCGCACACCACCACGCTTGGCTAATTTGTTTTTTGTATTTTTAGTAGGAATGGGGTTTCACCATGTTGGTCAGGCTGGTTTCGAACTCCTGACCTCGTGATCCACCCACCTTTGCCTCCCAAAGTGCTGGAATTACAGGCGTGAGCCACCGCGCCTGGCCACTTGCCTCACTTTCTGACTCCCTATGGATGCTTGCAGGGTCCACTCCCCAAATAAACTCCTTGCACTTCAATTTTTTTTCTTTGTTTAGAGATAGGGTTTTGCTCTGTCATCCAGGCTGGAGTGATCTGGGCTCACTGCAACCTCTATATCCTGGGTTCAAGCGATTCTCCTACTTTAGCCTCCTGTGTAGTTGGGACTACAGGTGTGCACCACGATGACTGGCTAATTTTTTTGTTTCTTTGTAGAGACAGGGACTTGCTATGTTGCCCATGCTGGTCTCAAACTCCTGGCCTCAAGCGATCCTCTTACCTTGGCCTCCCAAAGCATTGGGATTACAGGCATGAACCCCATTCCTAGGCAGCACTTGATTCCTGTTCCAAGATCTGGGAAAATCTGACCCAAAGAAAGCTTTGCTCTAAGACCTCCTTGGCCTTGTTGGGGCCAGACGTGGACTGAGGTTTCAGAGGAAGCAGTGGAGTGGCAGGAGCCAGGTAAAGGTGGGGAATCTCTTGTGGCAATCGGGTCCCCATGGTAACTTGGCCCCCACCCTGTGGCATCTGTGAGGTCACCCTGCTTTTCCCAGCCGGAGGAGGAGTGGGAGGCCAGACATGGAGGCCGTTCCTCCAGTCAGATCCAGCCTTTTGGGGATTCTGTTGCAGGTTATAAGGCTCACAGTGCTGGTGAGTGGGGGCTGGGGGTAAGTGGGGCGGGGACGACACACCGGGCTCTTTACAAAGTCACCTCAGAGCTGCCGGACCCAAGCCCTGCCTGTCCCATCCAGTGGAACTAGGTAGCTGCCTGCCTTCCAGAATAATCTGACAGCTCCCAGAAGCCCCACTCCAAACTACAGTGCTGAAATTTTCTTTTCTTTATTTAGAGACAAGGTCTCGCTCTATCACCCAGCCTGGAGTGCAGTGGTGCCGGCTCAGCTCATTACAGCCTCCAACTCCCGGTCTCCAGCAATCCGCCCCCTTCAGCCTCCAAGTAGCTGGGATTATAGGTGTGCACCACTACGCCCGACTAATTTTTGTATTTTGTATAGATGGTGTCTCACTATGTTGCCCAGGCTGGTCTCCAACTCTTGGCCTCACATGATCCTCCTACCTCAGCTTCCCGAGGTGCTGGGATGACAGGCGTGAACCACCGCACCTGGCAGAGTTTTCTCTATTGAGGGTCCCTCCTATGGGTGGATCGTTGTTTTTCCCATATATATATATATATATTTTTTTTTTTTTTTTTTTTTTTTTTTTTTTTTTTTTGAGACAGAGTCTCGCTCTGTCGCCCAGGCTGGAGTGCAGTGGTGCGATCTCGACTCACTGCAAGCTCCGCCTCCCGGGTTCAAGAAGTTCTCCTGCCTCAGCCTCCCGAGTAGCTGGGACTACAGGCGGCTGCCAGCAAGCCTGATAATTTATTTTTTATTTATTTTTATTTTTAGTAGAGACCCTGTTAGCTAGGATGGTCTCGATCTCCTGACCTTGTGATCTGCCCACCTTGGCTTCCCAAAGCGCTAGGATTATAGGCATGAGCCACTGTGCCCGGCCCATTCATCTTTTGTTTTTTTTTTTGTTTTTTTTTTGAGATGGACTCTTGCCCTGTCGCTCAGGCTGCAGTGTAATGGCATGATTTTGGCTCACTGCAATCTCCGCCTCCAGTTCAAGCGATTCTCCTGCCTTAGCCTCCCAAGTAGCTGGGATTACAGGCATGCGCCACCACGCCCAGATAATTTTTTGTATCTCTAGTAGAGACGGGGTTTGACCACATTGGCCAGGCTGGTCTCACACTCCTGACCTCGTGATCCACCCACCTCGGCCTCCCAAAGTGCTAGGATTACAGGCGTGAGCCACCGTGCCCGGCCATTCATCTTTTTTAAACATACAAATGCTTGCGGTTGGGGTCACAGCTCAGTCACACTTAGGAGGCCGAGGTGGGAGGATAGATTGAGCTTGGGAGGCCAAGGCTGTAGAGAGCCATGATCATATAACAGGGTGCAGTTGAGAAAGACAGACACCATTAGATTTGCATCTTGGGTCCGGGCGCAGTGGCTCACGCCTGTAATCCCAGCACTTTGGGAGGCCGAGGCAGGCAGATCACCTGAGGTCAGGAGTTCGAGACCAGCCTGACTAACATGAAGAAACCTCATCTCTACTAAAAATACACAATTAGCCAGGCATGGTGGTGCATGCCTGTAATCCCAACTACTTGGGAGGCTGAGGCAGGAGAATCGCTTCAACGGAGGAGTCGAGATCACACTACTGCACTCCAGCCTGGGCAACAAGAGTGAAACTCTGTCTCAGGAAAAAAAAAAAAAAAAGATTTGCATCTCGGCTGTTTCACTCTCTAGCTGTGTGACTTTGGGCAAATCACTTCACCACTCCGAACTCCTGTTTCCTCTCCTATAGAAATGATCTTGTGGGATCACGTGGGATAGCATAGGTTTCCCTCCTCCCTGGTCTCAGCACCATAACCTGGGAGGTCCTATTTCCTACCTCTACCCTCATTCTTCTCCCTGCTGGACCCTTTGGTCTCAGCATAGCTCCACCCTCCATGCCCCAAGCTCTGCAAATCCAGCCCATGAGTGGGGGGCTTGCAGCCAATCTCAGATGGTGTGCCTGTGGACACGGGGATGGGGGTCCAGATGGGTGGATTGGTGTCGCTGAAGGGCTGGGGGCTTTCCAGCTCTGATGAAGGATCTTTCAACTCCAGGACTCAAGAACAGCTTTCCCCCACCTCACCCCAGTCCTGCACGCTTCATCTCAGTGAATGGGAGACCCCATTGTCCAACTCGCCACCCAGATCAGAAAATCTTTTTTTTTTTTTTTTTTTTTTTTTTTTTTTGAGACGGAGTCTCACTCTGTTACCCAGGCTGGAGTGCAATGGCACGATCTTGGCAAACCGTAGCCTCCATCTCCTGGGTTCAAGCGATTCTCCTGCCTCAACCTCCCAAGTAGCTGGGATTACAGGCGTGCACCATCATGCCCAGCTAACTTTTGTAGTTTTTTTTTTTTTTTGAGACGGAGTCTCACTCTGTCGCCCAGGCTGGAGTGCAGCAGTGGGATCTCGGCTCACTGCAAGCTCCACCTCCCCTGGGTTCATGCCATTCTCCTGCCTCAGCCTCTTGAATAGCTGGGACTACAGGCGTCCGCCACCACGCCTGGTTAATTTTTTCCATTTTTAGTAGAGATGGGGTTTTACCAGGTTGTCCAGGCTGGTCTCAAACTCTTGACCTCAGGTGATCCACCTGCCTTGGCCTCCCAGAGTGCTGGGATTACAGGCGTGAGGCACTGTGTCCGGCCGAAAATCTGAAGTCTTTCTGGGTCCCTCTCCTTCACCCTTCTCATTAGGTCTGTCATGAATTCTGTGGCCCCTGCCCCACGTCTCTACGCCTCCCTGCCCCCAATGGCATTGTCCTTTGCCCCCAGCAGCCCTCCTGATGCCAGAGGACAACTGGTGCAGAGGCAAAGACCAGCTACTTAGAAGAAGACAAGTGACCTGGGTTCAAAGCCCACAAGATTGGGGCAGGGGATCCTCACATGGTAATAATAGCCACGCAACCTCCTTCAGTCTGGAGTATTGTAAATAATCATTTAAATCCAATGGAGGCCAGGTGTAGTGGCTCACGCCTGCAATCCCAGCACTTAGGGAGGCTGAGACAGAAGGATTGCTTGAGGTCAGGAGTTCGAGACCAGCCTGGATAACATAGCAAGACTTCCACCTCTACGAAAAAAAAAAAAAAAAAAAAAATTAGCTGAACGTAGTGACATGCACCTACAGCTCCAGCTACTTGGAAGGCTGATGAGGGGAGGATTGCTTCGGCCTAGGAGTTCAAGACCAGCCAGGCATAATAGAAATACTCCATTTCTTTAAAAAAAAAAAAAATTAGCCAGGCATGGTGGCATGCACTTGTGGTTTCAGCTTTTTGGGAGGCTGAGATGGGAGGATTGCTTAAGTGTGGGAGGTCAAGACTGCGGTGAGCTATGAGGACGTCACTGCACCCCAGCCTGGACAACAGAGTGAGATCCTGTTTCTTAAAAAAAAAAAATAAAAATAAAAAATCCAAATCCAATGGAAAGGAACCCAAATATAATATGAAACACCTTCTAATGTTCCCTTCTCAGAAGGGAGTCCTTCAAAGTGGACAGAGTTCATCCTTGCACATATAGGGAGCTGAGGCCTTTGGGTGGGGATCTGACTCAAGGTGGTCCAGCAGCTTCACCTCTACAATAAAAGTGGGGATCCTGGCCAGGTGCAGTGGCTCACACCTGTAATTCCAGCACTTTGGGAGACCGAGGTGGGTGGATCGCCTAAGGTCAGGAGTTCAAGACCAGCCTGACCAAGATGGTGAAACTCCATCTCTACTAAAAATAGAAAAACTAGCCAGGCGTGGTGGTGGGCACCTGTAATCCCAGCTACTCAGGAGGCTGAAGCAGGAGAATCACCCAAACCCGGGAAATGGAGGTTGCAGTGAGCTGAGATAGCACCATTGCATTCCAGCCTGGGCAACAAGAGTGAAATTCCGTCTCAAAAAAAAAAAAAAAAAGTGGGGTTCCTGCCCCAGGAGGGTGATGATGGGTGATGATTGTCTCTCTCTCTTCTCCGGCAGCTGGTTCAGAACCGAGATCACCTCTATAATTTCCTGCTCCTCAAGATCAACCTCTTCAACCACTGGGTATCAGGGCTGGCCCAGGAGGCCCGGGGGTCCTGTAACTGGCAGGCCCACCTACCCCTGGGAGCTGCAGCCTGCCCGCTGGGCCGGGCTCTCCGGGCTGGGCTGGCTCTGATCCAGGTCCCCGTGTGGCTCGTGCTACAGGGACCCAGGCTGATGTGGGCTGGCATGTGGGGCGGCACCAGGGCCCTAGGCCTGGCCTTGCTCAGTGCCTGGGAGCAGCTGGGCCTGTCTGTGGCCATCTGGACAGACCTATTTTTGTCATGTCTGCACGGCCTGATGTTGGTGGCCTTGCTCCTGGTGATAGTGACCTGGAGGGTGTGTCAGAAGGCCCACTGCTTCCGACCGGACAGGCAGCTCAGTAAGGTGGGTGGTTTCGGGGTGAGACTGGGGTGTGGAGGGCAAACCTGGGGTGTTGTGTGTGACCAGGGCTGGTTGGGCTTGTGCGGGGGAGCCACAGCCAAGCAGTGTAACCCTATGAGCTCCTAAGGGCCACCCGCCCATCTGTCTCCCTGTTCCAGGCCTTGCAAATGAACTGCGTGGTGAGGAAGCTCCTGGCACAGCTGAGACGTCTGTATTGGTGGGTGGAGACTATGACTGCCCTCACCTCCTGGCACCTGGCCTATCTCATCACCTGGACCACCTGCCTGGCCTCCCACCTGCTGCAGGCTGCCTTTGAACACACGGCCCAGCTGGCCCAGGCCCAGGAGGTTGAAACCCAGGAGGTCTCAGGGTCTTCCTTGCTGCCCTCACTATCTGGGTCCTCGGACTCGGAGTCTGGACTAGTTTTGTCAGAGCAAGAAACTCCCAGAGCATAAATGTATTCCCATCTGCCTCTCCTGGTCTGGCCTGGCTCACGGTCTCACTCCCTCTTCCCTAATGGGCTGGAGAGACGTTGTGTGAATGACGTGCATGTGTGTGCGTGCATGTGAGCCCAGGACTGCCTCTGGGAAGGAAATTACATTCTGTCAGCATCTTCTATGGGCCAGATATCAACCATCTCAGACAATTTACTCATAATCGGGTTTAAATCTCCTAGCAACACAGGCATCAGGTTTGATTAGCACCATTTACAGCTGAGAAAATTGAGCCTCAGAAGGTTGAACTTTCCCAAGGTCACAGTCTGTCAAGGGCAGAACCAGCACTGGGTCTCTAGATTTTTTGTTTCCCAGAATCCTTAACTTTCTCTAGGTGCGTGCCCCTGATTCTCAGAAGTATTGGTGCCCAGGGTTTTAGGGGAGATGGGCAGTTAGAGACTTTGGCCTCTGGGGGGTGCCAGGGCCTCACATTTCAGAGATTTAGAAACTTCCTTTGAGAAACAGTTGTGAGCCAGGCTTCAAGGAACCCATTCATTCATGCACTTGGCCACTCATCCATCCACCTATCCACCTGCCACAAAGGCATCCACAGAACCATCCATCCACCCACCCACCAATCCATTCATCCACTCATCCATTCACCTGCCCATCTACCCACACATCCATCCATCCATCCCTCCACCCATGCATCCATCCACTCATCCACTCATCCATCCATCCATCCATCCATCCATCCATCCATCCATCCATACATACATACATACATCATCCACCCACCAACCCACACATTCATCCATCCATCCCTCCAACCACCCACCCACTGATCCATTTATCCATCCACCCATCCATCCACCCAACCACCCATCCATTCACCCACCCATCTACCTACCCATTTAATCACCCATTCATCTATGCATTCATCCACCCATTCATGCATCCATCCACCCGTTCACCCATTCATCCATCCATCCATCCATCCATCCATCCATCCATCCATCCATCCACCCATCCATCCACCCATACATCCATCCATCCACCCATACATCCACATACCCACCCATCCATCCATCTACCCACCCACTGATCCATTTACCCATCCATTTATCCACCCACCCACACATCCATTCACCCGCCTGTCTACCTACTCATCCACTCACCCATTCATCTACCCATTAATCAACCCATTCATGCATCTATCTATCCACCTACCCACCCGCCCATCCATCCACCCATTCATCCATCTATCCATCTATCCAACCAGTGATCCATTTACCCATCCATCTATCCACCCACCCACCCACCTATCCATTCACCCACCCATCTGTCTACCCATCCACTCACCCATTCATTTACCCATTCATCAACCCATTTATGCATCCATCCATCCACCCACTCACCCATCCACCCACCCACCCATCCACCCATCCATCCACCCATCTATCCATCCATTCATCCATCCATCCATCTACCCATCCACTGATCCATTTACCCATCCATCCATCCATCCATCCATCCATCCATCCATCTATCCATCTACCCATCCACTGATCCATTTACCCATCCATCCACCCAACCACCCATCCATTCACCCACCCATCTGCCTACCCATCCACTCACCCATTCATCCACCCATTCATGCATCCATCCATCCATCCATCCATCCATCCATCCATCCACCCACCCACCCATCCATTCATTCGCAGAACCAACCGCACTCACCCACCCAGTCTGTTGAAGAGCCATCTGTCTCCCTGGGGAAAGGGGAAACCTATCCAGTATCTCAGCACTCCTCTAACCTGTGAGTAAGGACACAGGGTCCTGTTGCAGGGGTGGCTCATGCTGCTGTGCCAGCTCAGGCTGTGGTGCTTCCCATCCCCACGACTCAGCCTTCAGGTGAGTGATTCTGCTGAGAGGGGAAGGGATGGTTTCTCGAGTGTTTGCAGTCACCTCTCACCCACTCCCAAGCCAGAGGGTGGTGGTGTGAACGTGGCCCTTCTCCACTCAGGCTCCCAGCTCAGTGAGGGCCTCCCTTATAGCCCAGGGTAGATGTGGGGTGAACTTCCAGACCCTTCCTCCAAGTCTGAGCAGCAAGCCTGTCCTGCCCTAGGAGGTACATCTGAGAGGTCCCATCTGGCCAACGAGGCAGAACATGTACCCGGAAGGACCTATAAGCGCCTGGTCAGAGGGGTAACACGACTGGAATTCTAGGACATACACACAACTTTCAGGGAAGCGTGAGTGCAGGAGTAGGTGATGTCAGCCCATTGCTGAGGTGGGGACTGGAGGAAAAGAAGAGGCCCCAGAACAGTCTGGCGCCAAGGTGGGGACAGACAAGGATGTGGCCCAAGCCCCCTGGAGAAGATCCGGGCTTGGGGACAGAAGCTTGGATTCTGTGCCTCTGCCTCTGCCCTGCCGAGGTCACTGGGTGTGATCTTGGATGAGGCTGTCTTTGCCTGCTCTGGGCTTTGGTTCCCATGTCTGTGCAATGCGGGATGGGTGGGGTGATCCCCGATAAGGGAGTCAGCATTTGGTTTGTTTTTGTTTTGTTTTTTGAGACAGGGTCTCAGGCTGGAGTGTGGTGGCATGATCTCGGCTCACTGCAGCCTCCGCCTCCCGGGTTCAAACGATTCTTGTGGTTCAATCTTCGAGTAGCTGGGACTACGTGTGTGCGCCACCATGCCCGGCTAATTTTTGTATTTTTAGTAGAGACGGGGTTTTACCATATTGGCCAGGCTGGCCTCAAACTCCTGACCTCAGGTGATCTGCCCACCTTGGTCTCCCAAAGTGCTGGGATTACAAGTGTGAGCCACTGTGCCTGGCCGAGAGTCAGCATTTGGGGTTCCTCGATGCCAGGCCTTGTTTCTGAATGCCCAGATAGGAGGTGGGGTGGGGCAGGAGAGGAGCAGGCCCTCTGTCTATGCAGCCTGCCTATAAGGCCCTACACTGGCTGACTTCTGGCTCCCCGAATCCCCTGTCCTGGAGTTATTGCTGCTTTTGCAGTCTCTTCTAGGATTTGAAGTCTTCCTGGCCTTCCAAGGTCCCTGGCATCCTGGGGAAAAGGGAGAAGGCCAGAATCTCCCCTCAGCTGCCACTCACAGTGGTAGGCACAGCAGAGGCCTTGGGATCAGAGAGCCTTGGGTTTGGATGCTGGATCCACAACCTCTCGGCTGTGTAACCTTTGGCGAGTTACTGAACCCTGAGAGCCTCAGTTTCCCCTCCTGTGATCAGGGTATAATCACAGCACCCCAGATGTCACAGGGCTGTTGCCTGGTCTGTGCACGTGCGGTCCCCACTCAGGGCAGCTATGGGAGGCTCTTGGAACCCCATTCCCTGGCTCCCCATTTCCCAGGCCTGCCGCCTTCCCGGGGACTGCAGCTTCTGAGGCCTGGGGTGGGAGCAGTCAGTCCGTCTGTCTCAGGCCTGTGAGCATGGAGGGGCCCTGGCCTGCTGGAGGAAAACAAGTGGTGGCCGGTGTCGGGGGGTGGAGGGGGCACGGGCAGGGTGGGGGGAGCTGGCTGCAAGGCCGGCCAGCAGCTTCACGCAATCTGTCTGCTATGCAGTCCCGGGCCTGGCCTGTATTTATTTATGCTGAGCGTGTATTTATATCAGTCCCTTTTTCATTAATAGGGCAGGAAATGGCTGGAATTGTTACATACCTGGCGGGCCAGGGGTCCCGCTTCGCCAAGACACACAAGGCCCTGGCTGCCCCGCTATGGTTGTAAGGGGCCCCCTCTTCAGTCTGCCCGCAGGCCCCGGCCCGAGTTCCTGGCCCTTCCCTGACCCCCCTTTGTTCTGAGACCTTCTCTACCTCCCGGAGCTCCTGGAACCCACATTCCCTGGAGAGGGGTTCATCTGCAGGCCTCTCCCTGTCCCCCAGTTCATCCTGACCTCATCCCAACCCCAGGAAAGGCTGCGGTGTTAGGGGCTGTGAAAGTGCACACTGGAGGGTGGGGGAGGGGTGGCGAAGTCCACCCAGAGCAGCAGGAGCTCAGGGGAGAGACCAGGGTCGGGAGGGTTTGGGGATGGGATCCTGGGGCCCAGGATGGGGGGACTGGACAGAAGAGGAAATGAGGGGATACATAATAAGAGGGATCTCCTGAGCAGGTCCCATCCCTGGAGCTTCGCTCTCCACCAAGCCCAGTCCCATCATGTAAGCATGGGTGGCCTTTGTCACCTGGGACCTGCCTAGCCCACCAGAGGGGTCTCTGTGTCTATCGCCAGCCGCCCTACTGCCCCAGGCCTGGCAGGGGATGGGGGGCTCACTTCTGTCCTGCCTCCTCGCTCCCCGGTCTGCTCGCTGGGTTCAGCACCGAGCCAGCGCCTCTCTCCAGGCCCCAGCTCTTGGGCTCAGGCCCCAGGTGGGGCTGCCAGAGCTGAGAGGCGCGGCCCCTTCCCCAGAGCGCTCGCCTGACATAACCTATTAGTGCTTCTCGCCTCAATCCAGCTCCCCCAGCCAGCCTCCCCACCCAGGCCAGACTGTGCCGGTCCTGTTGTCTCTCTCCTGAGCTGCTTTGCCCCGACAGGGTGAGAAGGAGCTGGCAAGATGCCCGACGGCCCCAAGAGTAGCTGTGCCTGTTTGCCCGTCCCCTGCTAGGCTGCCCTGTGGTCAGGTGGACTCGATCGTTGACCTTGACCGGTGACCGCTGTGGCCATGATGACTTCCTGCCTCAGGGTCCAGAGCTGGGCCACTGGACAGTCATGGGACTGAAACTTAGAGGACAAGGGGCTTTCCTGCATTCCTGCCCTGTGCGGGTCTCTGCCTTCTCGGCTGCACTGTTTTTTTTTTTTATTTTGGAGACAGAGTCTTGCTCTGTCCCCCAGGCTGGAGTGCAGGGGTATGATCTCGGCTCACTGCAACCTCCGCCTCCTGGGTCCAAGCAATTCTCATGCTTCAGCCTCTCAAGTAGCTGGGATTACAGGCACGTGCCACCATGCCCAGCTAATTTTTGTATTTTTAGTAAAGATGGGGTTTTGCCATGTTGGCCAGGCTGGTCTCGAACTCCTGACCTCAGGTGAT